GAGAGAGAGAGAGAGAGAGAGGATGGGGATTGGGGAGAGGGAGAAAGATAGTGTCTAAAGAGGTAGGGGTGGGGGCACTTATACTGTGATAAAGACTAACAGACTGACAAAGACAATATAGAGGGAAGTGGAAGAGTAAAGATACAGGAGAAGTGCGACAAGGTGTAATGTCAGGACAGTTTGTAGAGCATACAGGTATATTGTAAAACAATGACCTTTCTCGCCGTTTTGGCATCTTCCCGGTTGATATTCGGTAGTGTGTTGTTTCACAGAAGATGTATCTTCTCTCCCTGTTTGGTGACTCATCATGTTCACCTGTCTTAATGGGGACGCTTTACAGTTTGTTTCATTTGCACGCGGACGGAAACAATTATCCCTTGCCGTGTGGGTCCGTGTCGTGTCCTGGAGTCTAGGAGGGCGTGCAAAATGGGCTCTTGTTGAGGATACATGTCTACCTAGACGCCAGAACGTATAGAGGTGTCTTCTGAATAAAGTGTACAATACCGGCTGGGTTATAAACTTTTCTTTTTCTGGGTCACATCGTTATGGGTTTGTTCCTTTTTCGTAAGAGGGGCTCTTTTGTTATCTTGGACATGTACTTGTACTGTTACATTAATCTCTCGATACGGGTAAATTCACTTTGTTCACTACTGTTGCTAAATCCAAGTCATTTGACCCGACTTTAAGCTTAGCGTAGAAATGTCGTTTGTGGGATGAAAACCGTAATTGTGTAAGTGTCCTTTTAAGAGAATACTGGGTTGCTGGTCTGTTGTTTGAAGTTGTTGTTCTTGGTGGTGGTGGTGGTAGTGGTGGTGTTTGCGGTGTTGTTGTTTTTTGAAACATTGGCTGTCTTTGTGCCGACTGCCCACGAGCTTCAACTCAATTTAGTACTTCGCCTTTGAAACGAGCTTATGTCTTAGTCTCGGTGTTTGTAAGAGTATGTCTCCTTATGCGGAAATCAGCACTTAGACTTCAAAATGGGCTTATGCTTTGCAGTATGTTAAGCGCATTACCCCCCCCCCCCA